AAAACTTGGCTTGGGTGGAGTGCAAATACACACTGCGAGTGATGAAAGTCATCTCACCAACAAAATACTTTAGCTACAATGCTATGCGTGTTAGCCCATACGAATACTTTAGGCGAGAAGCAACCGGCAAACTCGTATTTCGCTACGCATTGGATGTTATCTGTCCTCGAGGAGAGTGTGTACTCTGAACAGACATAATCCTGTTCACTGTGCCCCATTTATAATGCCATTATTCATGGGCGCCCTGTCTAACCATTCTACGCGTTCCAAAGGATTAAAGGACGAGAAAGACGCCGAATCGATTGCAGCATCATCACGCAAGGGCCGTAACATTGGCGTGAAGGAAGGTTAGAAGTCTATGGGTGGGACTGAATAGAAGTGCAGAGGAGAAGCAGAAACTATGGAGTCTGATGAGCCATGGTGACGAAGTCAAACGACAAACACGTCTTAACAATTTCTGTATGAACCTTACGCCAGAGTTGATGCGTAGGAAATAAGCGCAAATACGGAATGCATGAATGTATGGGTGCATTCAACAATAGTCATGCTTCTTGAACTTTTATGTTCTTCGTTTTCCATACTCTACCGAATTAAATTAATATGACACTGTGACTCCTCGAATTGTGGGATGGACATCAAGTAAAAATGACTCGACAAATGCTTGTAATAGGAAAGAGGGGACTTGCATCCTGGACAAATTAGGAGTCTTGACCTTTCATCCACTTCCCTTCTGCACAGCAATAATGGGCAGTAATAACCCCTTGTGCGCAACATCCCGCCACCTCCCAGAGGTTACTCGGCTCTGCCGTCTCCAGTGTTTGGACTCCTCATACCACACCGACGGACTACATCACCACTTCACTGAAGAAACAATGGTGGTGGTGGTGGTGGTGGTAGCGGAACCATCAACAATAACGCATTCATTTTCAGGTGCAGTAAGAGCCATCAGCACTCCGGTAGCAGGCTAGACCGACTACTCATCGACACCATTTTGCATCCGCGCCACCTATACGAAACAAAATGCACAGAGAGGTAGCGAACTAGTGGGTGAAGGAAATCAGTGGAACGAGGAATTAGGTAATATAGACCCACAGCGAGAGAAGTAGTTAGAGACGCGGTAGTTGTACGCCTCCATACAAGACACGTCGCCTGCTCCAACGCCGAGTGCAATGCTGGGGTGTCGACATTTATAAGCAAAACACATTACAGACACTTCGCTGAACTCAGGGCACAGTCTGGACATATATTCACGCTCACCTATCTCATAGTTCGTGTGTCGAAGGCAAGGTTTGCCATTGCAATCTTCGTGGTAAAGGATGCTGTCGAATAGGCGTCAAGGGCACTTCAGATCAGACGTACCAGTTTACTCACCACTGCCAT